TTGCCAGCTGCTGCAGTGTGTCATAGCAGTCTGCTAGAAGCTTTGAGAAAAACTTCAAGGAGCATAACGCTTTGATTGCTGCTTGACTATCTGAATAAATACAGATTCGGGCGCCTTTCAACCCTTTGTTAATGTTGATACGAGCGCAGACCTCGATGGCGTGAACCTCTGCTTGGAAGACAGTGGGCCATATACCCAGCGCGAGCGAGATTCTGGTGTTAGGACCAAATATTCCAACACCAACTCCTTCTTTGGTTTTTGAGCCATCAGTATACCACGAAATCACTTTTGGTTCAAATCCAGGAGTGCCATTTACCCAGTCCAATCGATCGGGTATGAGGACTTCGAACTTCCTACCGAAGCGAGGTTCCATGTTCATGCGATCTGTCCTATCGCAGATCTCTATGCCAGGAACTAGTCTGCAGATAGAGTTTTGACTGACGAGACTTCCGTGCATGTCAATGACAGGGTGTAGCCTAGCTGCACTCATAGCTGCTGTCTTTTTAATAAAGAGATGCAGAGGGGTGAGACCCACTATGGACTCCAGTGCTGATGTGGGACATGTTCTAATAGATCCCGTCATAGCGATACATACGAGTCTTTGCAGTTTATTGCATTTGACTATTGCAGCATTTTGTTGCGCCTTATTCCACCAAACAAGAGCTGCGTAGGATACAATGGGTCTGACCATTGTGCGGTATAACCATGATATAATTCTAGGACTTATGCCCCAGGTTCTACCATATGAGGTCCTACATGTCCACATGACCCGGGTGGCTTTGCCAATTATATTATTCAGGTGAGTGTTCCAGTTAAGACGCTTATCTAGCGTGACCCCTAAATATTTGACTTCATCGGAGCATTCAATAGCCGTATCCTTAATAGATAGGGACCCAATATTTACTTTGTACCTTCTAGAAAATGGTACAATTACCGCTTTTTTTGGGTTAATACTTAGGCCTTCTTTGATACACCAGTTCGAGACTTTGTGTAATGCCGCCTGCATTACGTCTGTAACTGTGGTGTCAAATTTACCTGTAACAATGATTGCCAGTCATCTGCATAACCTATGGCATGATACCCAGATTGCTCCAGTTTAACTAGTAAGTCATCGACTACCAGCGTCCATAACAATGGTGAGAGAACCCACCTGTATCGAAGCTCCCTCTACATCCAGAAATGCACATAAGGCGATCTCTTTAGATTGAAACGTGCTTTCAATTTTGCTGACTAAATGATACAGCGCGACCTCTGTAGATTTGCCTTTTGAGTAGGCATATTGGGTGGAGTGGAGTGGGACAGTTTGTTCCAATTTATTCCGTATGTACAGATCAATCAGCCTTTCGACGGTTTTCAATAAGAAAGACGTAAGACTAATGGGTCTGTAGGACTTGGGTTGGTCCATAGGTTTGTTCCCATGTTTGGGAATAAAGATCACGTTCACTCCTCTCCAGGAATGAGGGATATAACCCATAGTAAAACAAGCCCTAAAGAGTTTTATTAATGGGTCTATGATGATGTCTATACAATTCTGCAATAGAGTAGGGTAGATACCATCGCCTCCAGGCGCCTTAAATGGTTGAAATGAGTTGATCGCCCATTTCACCTTGTCCCTGTCAAAGATAACACCAGATAGTGCGTATTCCTGATATGTAGGAGCAGTAACTTCCCTATATGAATGTGATGGTGGTCCGTTTACGGAGCCAGGGAAGTGTGTTTGCAAGAGAAACTCGAGGGTATCTTCACGACCAGTAGTGAAGGATCCGTCCGGTTTTTTTAAAAGGCCTACTTCATTTGTTTTGACCTTATTTAAAGCCTTGTGTAGTCTAGCAGCCTCAGGCAACCTATCAATACTATCACAATGGCTAGCCAGCTGGCCCGTTTGGACTGTCTGATTGAATTGTTGTAGTCGGTGAGTGCTGTTCTATAATGTTCCCAACTACCAGAGCGTTTTGCTCTATTGAATAAGCTTCTTACTAGTTTACGCTTATTAGCTAGTTGCGAGTTCCACCAAGGAACCTTACCTCTAATTGAAGCATTACCTGCAACCGTGCTGTTGTGAAAGGAGGTCAGTAAAACCTCACCTAAATGGTTTGCAGCCAACTCTATCTCTTCACGAGTTCTTAGTGGCCTAGCTAGAGAAAAATTTTCGGAACCCACCAAGTCCCTGTACCTAAGCCAATTGGTTTTCTGTGGTCGGTACACTTTATCTTGCTGCTCGGATATACCGGGAATTTCAAACCTAATATGTTGATGGTCTGAGAGGGACACTTCGTCGGACACTCGCCAGTTCCATATAGATTCCTCAATACCTCTGGTGCAAAGAGTGAGATCTAATACCTCTTCTCTAATTGCATTAATAAAAGTGGGTTTACTACCTTTGTTAGCTATACTTAATCCTATCGACATAATATAATCTAATAGGTACTCACCCCTTTTGTTATCGTTGCTGCTCCCCCACACTGTGTGGTGAGCATTAGCGTCACAGCCCAAGATTAGCTGCCGCCCAGTGGACTTGCAGAAGTTGATCAGCTGCTGGACTTCCGATGGTGGAATGGTTTCTTCATCACCTGGGAAGTAGGCAGAGGCCATGACTATATCTGTGGCCCCTCCTAGTGTTGGGACTTCGACTAGAACCGCTGCTAGGTCTCTAGAAATAAAGTTGGTTAACGGAAGATATTTTACATCTCCACCGATTAGGATAGCTGCACGTGGCACTGCTATCGAACGGTCATAAACCAGCTTACCTGATTTTGTGTTGAGACCCCGAATGTGGCCACCAAACACCCACGGCTCTTGGATAAGTCCTAGAGCGATGTTGTCGGTTTGGGCAATTCTGCACAAGGTGGCCGATGCTCCCTTAGCATGGTGCAGATTTGCCTGGAGCACTTCAAGAGCGCTCATTATATCTCGTTAAGAGACTTACGGACGAGACTTTCACGCTTGTCTCGTCGAGAACCTTTGTTCCTATCACCCTTTGATTGCTTCGGTAAAATTTTACCGATTAAGGGTGTTTTATTGGTAGCGGTCCGTGGTTTACCTGCTACAGTTGTCGTGCCCGTGGAGGGCATTGTGGACGTAGTTACCGAGGTGGGAATCTGAACTACACGCCCACTAGCAGAGCTCACAGCCTTGCTTGTGGAGGGACGTGTGTCTAGTTCCTCTTCCTCAGGAACAGTCACTGTTGGGCAAACTTCCGTAAGGGATGCTGCCGAAGCCGAGGATGATTGGATAGTACTATCATCCTGAACCACCTTTGGAGTATTGTCTATGGGGTGAGAATGAGCGGGGGTGGTTCCCTTTAGCATCAATCTCAGGTGTCCGAACCGGTATGCAATCCTACCTTTAAGTTCGGACAACTTCCTCATAGATTCGTCATCAATGACGAAGACTAGGTGAAGCATCTGATCCTGCGTCAGCCTACGTATCACCTTCCACCGCTTGGTGGAGAATTTGTTCTGGGTACCAATGGTAGCCAGAACTTTTTCGTTTGACAGTGTCAAACTCTGAGGAAAATAGCCACGAACGACGTGAGTTCGTGGGAAATTCTTTTCCTCTACCACGTTTATAGCGAGTCCGCATTTGGCCCCTATGTGGCCTGAAAATTGCTTGACCCACTTCGCAGTTTTTGCATCACTGCAGACGATAAGCAGCCACCCCGTTCTAGGTAAACACCCTTCGAACTCCGGCTGTATTTCGTCGTTGTGTTGCTCAATAGCAACATCAATAATGGCTTCCTGGAGAAGCGTAATTTGCTCTGTAGAGAGCGAAGTGCCAGCCGGATCAGCCGACGTGAAGCCTAAGCGTACGCCTTTAACAGCTAGGCTGTACGATGGCTTGGTGAGCCCCACGTGAGCCACCTTATGTTTTTTGGCGGGAAACAAACCGGGGGATTGCTCCTCCGATCTGACCCGCTTGTTCGCAGGCGAATGTTGCATAGCAATTTTAAGAGCCTCTGCCCTGCTATGGCCTGAAGACATGGCCGCCTTAAACCTTCTTCGCTCACTTCTTTTAAGGTGAGTAAATTTTGGGGATTCCAAAGTGAGGTTGCCAACTTTGGAGCCAACGACAGTTAAACCGGATTTTTGTGATACCACACTGCCGGTGTCGGAATCACCAGATTCAACGGCTTCGGAATTTGAAGACAAGACCTCAATAATTTCCTGCCGCCTTACCTGAGATCGCGACGAAGTTACTGCTGGTGCGTACACCGTTTCCGCAAGCGGAGAAGTAGACGGTGGCCCGTCCGGGTCCATTTTGACGCACACAGTAGCGCTGTCGAAATGGGTGGAGGCTTCCAGCCCAGTGGCCGGCACACACTCAGCTACAGATAATTCCGTAAAGGAATCATTTGAAGATGATGCCGTTAGAGTGACATCAAGCTCATTTGTATTATTTAAATTGTCCATACAAAAATTATTTATATTCGGGATTGGAAGGTTCACACACGACATAGCCCGTTTATCGTGAGAAGTCTAAATTAAAACTGGAGGTCGACAGGTATCCAGAGTTCGCATATTAAAGACCAACTATCCATGGCCATTCATCCCTCGGCATATGCTGTTCCACCTTGGATTTGAGCTTTGATTTAAGACGCTTTTACATGCGTCCGCCCGATTACAATTAGCCAGCACCCATAGTAGAGACATGACCATACTATGAACCTGTTTCTAGCCGCCCCCGCGTAGAGGATGTAATCACACTACCGACAGTATACAACAGTTACGGCACATACACAAAGTACGTGTTTATCCCCCTGTGTATCTGACGGCTGACGACCAAAATTCAAGTAAATTATGTGACAAATTTACTGAAGATATCAATATATCCACTATGAAATTTATATATTCATACAAATATATTTCTTTCTTTATTTATATGTATAGCATTAGTTTTTGTAGTGCTTATTCATTGAAGAAAAATATATTTTATTATTCTTGATTCACATGTCGATGTGCATAGACATTAGGCATAGACATTCTGCAAGTATGATACAAAACACAAGTTACTGGCTATACTGGCCGAAATGTGCACAAAAACACTATTTCTCTAAAGGCCAGTAGTTGTGTACTGGTCATACACTTCGGCAGTAAACATTGTTACCAAGCAATAAGCACTACTTGATATTCATTAAAATCCTCGATATTGCAATCATATTAAAATCATATATAAATAAAAATTTAAATAAAATTCAAAAATTTCATAAATTTGAAAATTGGGAAAAAATAAAAAAATTTTAGTGTTTTATTTTGAAATTTCCAACATTCTTACTACTCCCTTTAGTTAATTCTGTATTGAGTTTAATTTTCCATTTATATTAATTATTTATTTGTATACAAAACGTAATTTCTTTTATATTGTGTTATGTACAAGAAATATATGAGAGTGTTTTTGAAATAATATTTTTAAAACACTCTCTTTTTCATGTTTTCCTGTACAAGTTACTTTGAACGTAAGTATATATATCTAGAAAACGAACTCAATGAACAATGGGACTGTTTTAAAAAAATACGTACACGAATCGAAAAAACAAGAACCGTATTTATGAGGATGAAAAATTATTACATTGATTTAACTTTTTCCAGAGCACAATTAGTTGTTATTGAAACAATCCATTTCATGTGTATTATTTTTAATTTTTTATGTGTTACGTCTAAACTATTTAAAGTATATAAAAAACGTTTGTAATTTTAAACATTTGCATTTATGTGAGTTAATTTTTTTGTCGGTGCTTCTATTGCTTCTTTTAGGTGTTCTTCAAATTTACGCGGTTGTGTAACCTCGGTATCTTTGATAACTCTGTAATGAAGTTAAAGATCGATAATACCCCCATTCTTTTCGCCAAGCTAATGTACCTTGGTGTTGTTCTATCCTCCCAGTACAACTTCATCCCTCACGTTGTCTATATCATCCGCAACGCTGGGTTTAGGAATACTCAACTGAAGAATGCCCTTCGCAGGCATAACCAGCTTAACTGCAAAGTTAAACTGCTCTGCTATAAACAACTCATTCGCCCCTTGCTTACGTACCCCTTCATCATTGGGTCTACAACCTCTTCCCACCAGGTGAAATAAATCCGTCTTTTCGAGCGTAAGCTGCTTCGTGTTGCACCATATACAAACGTAAATTTGACGGCAAGCGCTTTTTCAATATCACCCTTTATGACTCAGGCAAAATTATTCGCATCCACACAACCTTTTCCTGATATAAACCCATTAGTATCTTTTCCTTTATCTCGATTAGTGGGACTTCGATCCCCTATCATCCCTCTCTACAACTTCGGTTCTCGTGACCCTGGTCATAGAGTCTACCGCTAGCCTCAACAACGCAGTCGGGCTATAATCCTACCGCCTTCAACAATTCCCCGTTCTTCAGCCTATGCCTTCTGGCTTAAATAAACCTAGCCTGCTAGGTATTGAGCTTCTTGCTCTCATTCTTTTCCTTGATTAGTGGAATGAAGTTTCCACATTGTTGAGGACATTTTCTCTATGTATTCCTAAGAGGTGGTTTTAGTGGGTTCATTTCTCACACTTTGGCTTTTGATGGTTTTCACATACTGTAAAAAAGAAAAATCAAAAAATGGTGCCTTCAAGCCAATTAACCCCTTAGAAAAATTCGGAGTATACCAAATCAACTGCGGCTCCTGCAATGAAGTATACATCGGACAAACAAAAATACCCTTATCAGTAAAGCTTGAAGAACACCTAAGAGAAGCAAGGGAAGCCCCGAAAAAATAAATCCTCACATAAAATCAAATGTTGTCAGATATATAATAATCGAAAATCACAAACATCTGGTCACATCTCTATTCAACGGTGATAAGGGCATCGTATCCTCAAGGGTTTTGAAATACATTTTAAAAACAAACCAAACAAAGTACCAGGTTACTGAACTACCTCAATAAGTTAAAGCTTGAACAAAAAAACCGGACCAATACCGTCACCATATTTAACTCTCACCCACAAGAACAAAGACAACCATAACCCCACTAATTAAAATGAAAAACTTATAAGACCTGTCATCATCATCATCATCAATTTCTGTGTCTCCCATTGAAGCATAAGGACTTAATAAAGCACTTCCATCTGGTTCTTTTCTTGTTAAATTCTTCAACCAAATCCACGTTTTTACCGACTCCTCGATTTCCTTTTGCAATATGCTTTTCCATGTGACGTTATGACATTTTCTCTTACGGCTGTCTTGATGATTCCGAATAAGAGCTTGTCGACAACTTTTTGTAACGTCCTTACGAAATGTATGACTCAATCGCAGCCATTTTTATAGTATTATGTGATTGGCCATTGGTTCCAATTTACATATAAGTCGGAGTTACTGGTAACATTTGGCCACCACACCTTGACAATACGTCAAAGACATCTGCCAGACGAAGCTTTGAATTTTTCCAGTAAGGAAGTCGATTACAAGCCAGGCCTCACATCCATAGAGCAATATTGATATGACGTTTGACTTATATAGTCTTATTTTTGTGAAGAAGAATACATTCGCTGAGTTTAATATTTGATAGAACTGCGAGTATGAGCTAATTGCTTGCTAATTCTGGTCAGGATATCCTTCCTTGAGCTATCCTCTGCGGTTATCACACTACCTGTGTGGGTAATATATTCGACTTGT